GTCTTAGAGCCAGTTTACAGTGTGGGGGAACCAGAGTGAAAAATGGAAATGAACTTACTTAAAAATATATTACAGTCCAAAGATTTCTTTTTATACTTCAGTAAGATTAGAATATGCTTTGCATCATTACATGGAACATGGTGGAAACCTCCATAGAATTCTGTCATTGTAAGCCTGAAAAGCACAGGTTGGGGAAAAAGACTGGGTCTGTGGAGGGCCCCAGGGGAGTAAATAATGCATGGCATTTGTATTGAGGACAGAAAAGTATACCTAGTTGACTCCAATTCTTTCAGGTTGAACCTGAAGCAGCCCCAACCACAACACAAGTCATTTATGTGGATGGGCTTCATTGAGTCGGTAACCAGTGCCTTTAATTTATTTTGCCTCTGGATAGATGTCATTTCAGATTGAATTCTCTCTGGACAGGTAGATGAAAACTATGGACTTTTCCCATCACATCAGGGTTATTTCCATCTAACTGGACAGAGTTCCACAGAGGATTTAGATTTCTAAATTAAGAAGTGAGGTGGTCACATTTCCCTGGCTCTGGTTAAACCACTCAATCCTTACCGTTTGATGTCTGTCTCCTTGAAGTTCTTGCCTGTTTCTTTAGTGTAGGGGCTAGTTTTCTAAGGTTGAGCACAGAGCTTTCAGAACCTCCCATAGTTTTTGGAAAACAAGTCAGCCAAACCCTGGTCTGTAGAAAAGATCCATCTCTTATTTACCTTTTCCTAAATACAACTTCAGCATAGTGTCCTTGAGATCTCCCAGTTCAACAGCCAGGTTACAGATGGCTTGTAATATGATTATAGTGCTTACATAGCATTTGACAGTTTTCATAATGCTTCATTTACTTGTCTCACTTGATCATTCATTCAACAAACATTTGTTGATCTTCTTTGCTGTGCCAGGCATGAGATGAGGCATTTGTACAGTCAGGTCTAATTCCAGAAGGAAAGACTGATATGCCATGTCAGATAGAGATACTCAGAGAAGACCAATAGAATAAGGATACAAAGGTGACCCCTGATTAGACAATTAGGACAGTTCATTAGTAACATTAGCAAGAGTGATAAGGACAGAGGCCAGAGTGCTGTGGGTTGAGACACATGGGAATGAGGAAATAGAGAAAATGAGTATTAGACTTTATTATGAAGGGGGAAGAGAAAGGACAGAGTCTACAGGAGGATTCACAGTGGAGAGGTAGTTTTATCATTTCTTTTTATTCTTTTTTTTTTTCTTTCCCAAGAAGTTCAGAACAAAGTTTTTCCATTTTAATATGGGAAAAACTTTATAATTTGAAGGGAAGGTACTCATTAAATATATAAGACTGGAGTGGGAAGGGTGGTCCATTTTATAGATAAGGATAGTAAAGAAAGATTAAGCAGTTTTCCCTGTGCCCCACAGTAGGAGAAGGAGTCAGAATTTGAACCCCCAAGTCTTCTAATGCTAAATTACATTTAATGCCTCTAATTCTGAAAGAGGGAAACTCTTTTTTTTTAATGTGTACCTTTTCAGAAGATATGAACAGGTAACTCAAAGATGGAAAATGGACCTTAAACATTGAAAAAAGTTGCTCACTTCTACCCATAAGAAAAATACAAATTGAAACTACACTGAGATAACATTTCATGCCTATCAGATCGGCAAAAATTCAAAAGTTTACATTTTGTTCGAGCAAGATTGTGAGGAAAGTGGCACAACATGGAATTGTTTCAGACTCTATGGAGGGAAATTTAGCAGTATCTAACAAAGCTGCATTTAGCCTTTGACCCAGCAATCATGTTTCCACAAGTATGAAACATCATTCATAGGAGAATAAACTATTATATCACTACCCAATGAAGTACTACTATGCAGAAATAAGAAAAGGTAAGGAAGATCTCTATGAACTGTTATATGGAGTGGTTTTGAGAATATATTGTAAAGTGAAGAAAGCAAAGAACAAAAATGTATACTGCTTCTGTGTAAGAATTGGTAATATGAGTAAGAAGTGGTAGTAAGTATATATTTGCTTATATTTTTTCAAAATAGAACATAAATGGAATAAGAAATTAATGAAAATGGTTACTAATAGGAATTGAAGGGATAGGGATAGGAGTGAGACTTCCAAATTTACTTCTTAATAAACTTTTGACTTTCAATCATGTAAAAGTTTTGCATACTCAAAAACTTAAATAGACTAGGTGTGGTGGCTCACACCTGTAATCCTGGCACTTTGGTAGGCTAAAGCAGGAGGATCTCTTGAGGCCAGGAGTTTGAGACCAGCTTAGGCAACATAGCAAGACCTCATCTCTACAAAAAATAAAAAAATTAGACGAGCATGGTGGTGTGCGCCTGTAGTCCCAGCTACTTGAGAGGCTGAGGCAAGAAGATCAATTGAAGCCCAGGAATTGAAGACTGCAGTGAGCAGTCCCTGAGCAGCAGTGATCACTCCCTGTACCCTACCCTGGGCAATATAGTGAGACCCTGTCTCTAAAAAAAAATTAAATCAAAATGAACGGAAAAAGCACACTCTAAAATTGAATACAAACTGGGCTCAGCATGTACCTGTAGTCCCAGCTACTCAGGAGGCTGAGGTGGGAAGATCACTCGAGTCCGGGACTTTGAGGTTGCCGTGAGCTATGGTGACGCCACTGCACTCCAGCCTGGGCAACAGAGCAAGACCCTGTCTCAAAACAAAACAAAAAAACCCACACATAAAAATTAAACAGGAACAAATTAACTCAAATGTGTATCAAATTGATAACTTCATAGAAATTAATTCAAATAACTTTTAAGCATGATACTCTGATTATACCCCTTAGTGAGATATAACAAGGAAAAAAGGAACTATCAACAAAATTAACATGTTTGTTGTTGGTTGTTGTATTGGTGTAATAATGTTGAATTTATTTTGTAAGAGCAAATGAATTGTTAGGAACCAAGGTTCTGACCATGGATTAGGGTGCGGGAAGGGCAAGAGTGAGGAAGAACACTGTGGTGTTGACTTTGAATTGGAGGACCAATGTAAACTCAATTTTTTTTTAGAAATTTTCCTAGTTCTGTCCACTGCAAAGGTTTAGAAGCAGCAACACGTGGTAGTTAAGAGCATACCTAATTAATGCCCAGATCTTGATTACAAAATATTCTTCATTAAAAGAAACCAGGACTCTTTGGGGAGATGGCTCATTCTACTCACAAGTGAATCTGGAACAACTTTTTGTACCAGAAAGCAAGGAAGACTAATGGGTCATATTAGAATGAGCCAGCTTCAAGAGATTTCCACTGGCTAAATTCAGGACAATTCAAGTGTCCAAAATAAATAAATAATGGTAATGAATTATACTAAACACAAAAAGAATTCAAGAGTCCATAGTGACACTCAAAAAAAGGATGAAAGGATTGGTTAGGTGCAGCTCTCTTTTATAGAAAAATGTCAGCTAACATGCAGAAAGAATGATAAAATTAGAATATCATAATTTTATAACCTCCACTAAAATAATTGATTTGTACAAGATCAGCAATTGATGCTAAAACCATAGGGTGAAACCTACTGTGAAACAGGATATTCACATGGCTTCAAAGATTACTAAATATCCATACATGACTAATTAATTTTAAGGAAGCCTTTACAATAGAGGGATGTGGCAGACACAAAGGTACCTTGACAAAGAATATAAACTTAGCATGGCAAATAATGGGACAAACTGATGAGTGCCTCCTGATATGATGGAGTAGGAAGTATATATACAACATGATCCTTGTGGTCCAAACAGAGCAAGACCCTGACCCAAAAAAATGTTTGACTTGAATCTAATCATCGGAAAATAATGAGACAAATTCAGCGTGTGAGGATTTCTCCGAGATAACAGATCTGAGTCTACAAAAATGTCAGTATCATGAAAGGTCCCTCCCTCCCCCACAAAAAGCAGAAATGGACTGTTCTAGATTAAAGGAAATAGAGGATAGAGACATGACAACTAAATGCAAAGGAGATCCTTGATTGAGTGACTATAAAGGACATTTTGGGGACATTTGTGGGAATTCAAGTATGGATAATGTATTAATTAAGTTATTAATGTTATATTTCTTGGATGTGATAACAGTATTATGTAAGAAAATGTTCTTAGACGATATATGCTCAAGTATTGAAGTGTCATGATGCCCAAATTACTTTCACATGGTTAAGGGAAGAAAAGTGTGTTACTGGTACTGAAAGAAAAGGGAAAGAGGAAGAGAAAGCAAATGCAGCAATTGATGTGTATTCCAGATAATCTGTAGAACTCCCCCCCCCCACCAAAGTTTGCCTTTTATTAAAATTTTGTATATTAAGCTTCCCTCATTTATTTGGTGGAAGCTATTTCATACTTTCCCCCACACAAACACACATCCTGCTCCCCCTACTCTTTAGGTGCAACTTAATATGCTAGAAAGAGTATGGGCTTTGGAATCAGATCCAGGTTTAATGCATAGTCTGCTTTGTTCATTAAACAGATGTTTATTGAACACCTGCCAGGTGCCAGGCACTTGGCAAGATGCGTGGGTTTCCATAGGGAACAAGAGACCTGGTTCCTGCCCTCGAGTAGCTTATATTATAGTGGAGGAAATAATTAGAAAATAAGCACATAAATAAATATATAAAGGTGAATTGTGATACATGCTGTTGAGGAAAATATCAGATTACTATGAGCAATAATAGCAAAAGACATCTAACTTACATTGGATGATGGTCAGACACCTCTCCTGCTCTGATCCTGAGCAAGAATTATTTAAATTCTATGAGAGTTGGTTTACTTACCTGTAAAAATGAAGATGAAGATAACTTTCTTACTCTATTAATTGTGAAAACTAAATGTGATAACATAGAAAGTGGCTGGCACTTGGGGTCACTGAGTAGATGTTATTAGCCTTGTTTTTAAAAGCTCTGCTTCTTCCCTCATAGGACTCCTTTTCAAGTGTTGTATTTAGTTGATTTGCTAATATTCCCTAACCTTGTCCTTGTGTTTTTGGCTCCATAGGGCTCAGAATGGAATGCCTCCAACTTGGAGGACTTACAGAACCGAGGGTAAGTACACAGAGCAATTGCTGATACCCCCATGTGCCAGAAGTCCCTGTTTTACCTTTACATTTTCCCAATCAAATAGGTATCAGTGGGTAACTTTAATCTTAAGAGTTGCTTCTGATTAGATCCTTGATTAGGTTACATCTGATTAGATGTAATCTAAGAAAAATAGAAGCGGGGCTGGGTACAGTGGCTTATACCTTTAATCCCAGTGTTTTGGGAAGCTGAGGTGGGATGATTGCTCGAGGCCAAGAGTTTGAGACCAGCCTGGGCAATATAGCAAGAACCGGTCTGTAAAAAAAGTTTTTTAAAAATTACCTGGGCATCATGGCCTGCACCCACAGTCCCAGCTTACTCAAGAGGCTGAGGCAGGAGGATTGCTTGGGCCCGTGAGTCCAGCCTGGGTGACAGAGCAAGACCCTGTCTGTGGGGGGAAAAAAAGGAAAAAGAAAAACAGCTATTCTACCACTGTTTCTTCCCTTATCTGCCAAGAAAGATCAGTTATTTTAATGGAAGGGCTTTCAAAAACAAATGTGAAAACCTTTGGTGCTGTTTAAAATCAAATGTAGTTTTTGGTTCTTGTTTTTATGTAAGAATACATAGAACTGCATGTGTTGGGTTCACAGAGAGCAGGTCATTCAACATTTATTAAGCATCTTCTGTGGGACAAGCACAGTGCTAGGGATCTGCAGATAATTAAGACTCCATATCCTTTTAGAGTAAGCCGCTTGAAGACTAGGTTATGAATGTAAAATGGACAAGCTTCTGAAATTGAACAATAAGTCCTACCTTAAATTGAGAAAATTATCCCTAAGCAGCATGGTTATTGAATTTGATTGTAGCAATTGAGGCTATAATGAGCATTCAGCAAGCAAAGAGCTGCCTTTCTTCCCTTAGTTAATGCCTATGAAATTTCTCATTGAACTTCACCTTAGGAAGTCAGATCATCCCAGTAAGAGAAGAGAAAAATCATGTCTGAAATTTACCATGCTAACTCTTCATTGTGAACAGAGGAGATAAGACCAGCTGAGACTCAGAGGTGTAGTGATGGGTACCTGACTGGTTGCTGGCTGCCTGTTTTCTCAGCTCTAAGTCAGCCTTCTGGTTATCTTTAACATTAGTAGATAAATACTCCCTTCTTTTTCCCCCAGAAGAAAGGTATTTCATAGTTGCTAAAATGAACTTGGAACAGGATTCAAGCCAAATGATGATACAGAGAATTCCAGGGGAAAAATCTGGTTGCTTAATTTGAGATTTGCAAATAGATAGAACTCGGAATTTTAAATTGGTAAGAATTGAGTTTAGAGTTTTTGAAGGCAGAAACTAAATCTTAGTCTTATGTATAGCTTACATGTGTCTAGCTCAGAGCTTTATACCAAAGAGTGTTCAGTAAATGCAAATGAATGATAGATAAATTTATACATATATGAGGACTGTGACTTGTCTAATGGCAAATAAGGAGAAGAAATCAATTAGTTGAACTGTGCTAGGAATTCAGAAACCTAAATTGTAATCCTATGTGTGTCTGCCATTTGCCCTCCTTGGGCCTGGGAAGCTTAAGCCTAGATAAATTGTTTACTTATTATGATCCTTGAAAGTGCCCCTGAAGGGTGAGGACCCTCAATTCAACCAGAATAATAAAAGAGTCTGCTTAAAATTTCTTTAGGAGTGAGGCAGAGTTTTTTTTTTGTTTGTATGCAATACCCGTCTCCTCCTCCCCGCTCCCCACTCGCCCCTGCCTGACATCCAATAGATGTTATTCTTATATGTGCACTT